GTTAAGGCTTTTATGTCCAACAGATGGCGCTACGAGTACGACGCCCTAAGTTTGCTTTTCTGTGAGGCATTATGCTTTTCTGTGAAAATGAACTAAAGCAGATCATATTCTATCTATCTATATAAATAAAAATGTAATGTTCATTTGTTCCTACCGATTCCTTTGAAATTTTGACACAATGCTGCATTTGAATACGCACATGTTTTTATATAATATACATGTCGAAATTCAACCCCACTGAAGGGAGATGGTTAGGATTAAGGCTTATGGTAAAGAACTCTGCTTCTATTTATACTATTTATACTATTTTAGATGTGGGTTTTTGCATTTTTGATTGCGTTTTAATAGGGTACGTCAACAGATTGTACACTAAGAAGAAATTTTTCGATATTCCCCCCGCGGGGGAGAGAGACAGGATCAAGGCTTACCGTGAAGAACTTGGCTTCTATTATACTATTTTAGATGCGAGTTTTTGTGTTTTTGATTGCATTTTAATAGGGTATGTCAAGAGAATGTACACTAAGAAGAAATTTTTTGAAAAATTCCCCCATGAGGGAAGTGTTATAAATTTATATTAGATACATTTTGAGCCACAACAACGCATGACGGGATCTGCTAGTTGTTTATATATTTTCAAAAGTTCATGTTTGTTATGTAAATATATTCTAAGAGAAAAAATATTATAGCCTCTTTCATTTATTTCTTCNCCCATGAGGGAAGTGTTATAAATTTATATTAGATACATTTTGAGCCACAACAACGCATGACGGGATCTGCTAGTTGTTTATATATTTTCAAAAGTTCATGTTTGTTATGTAAATATATTCTAAGAGAAAAAATATTATAGCCTCTTTCATTTATTTCTTCAAAGGTCACTCATTGCCTTAATTTTTTTTATCATAAGCATTAATTCCCCCATGGGGGAAGTGTTATAAATTTATATTAGATACATTTTGAGCCACAACAATGCATGACGGGGTCTGCTAGTTGTTTATATATTTTCAAAAGTTCATGTTTGTTATGTAAATATATTCTAAGAGAAAAAATATTATAGCCTCTTTCATTTATTTCTTCAAAGGTCACTCATTGCCTTGTATTATAGTTAATAAAGAAAAAAGGATATAAAATTATTAAAAACTTTTATATTTTGTAATTATAGTAGAATCTTAATTATCTGAGGTAATGTGGACTGATGCTACCTTGGATAATTGAAAATATGAATAAAACAGATGGTCATGGCCATTTTGGATTAAAAATTAAGAATATAAAAGATTTATTTGGTAGCACTTTTAAGCCTCATTTTTTTTATATTTTAGTGAATTTAATCGTAGATAATAACATGTTTTTTACATTTATTACACAGCTAATATATGTACAAAAGTTTTAAGAATAAAAATATGTATTATTGTAGTGACATTTTAATATGAATAGATTGCCTCACATTGAAGCTAAANCTTTATCCACACTTGCTGAAATGTTATCGATGATTTGTATGGTGACAAAAAGCAATTTCAGCCCCACTAACTTCTGAATTGGTAGTACAGTCATTGATTGGTCAAGCTGTCGACTTTCTTTAACATAAAGGTTTGGGAATTCCAAACTTCTTATGTTAAAGCCCATCTGTGGTCGGCTCTTGCCAAGTAGCTTGTTCGGCAACCAAGTTATCATACAGCAACTGGAGCAAATATGAGTTTGAAATTTTGTTTGCAAACCAAATTGTTCAAAAAGCAATGAGTTTGAAGCCCAAGTTTGGCTTTTATAAGTATTGAGTTTTTGCACAAACACCATCTGTGATGATACACTATTGATAAACTTGTAAGCATAAAGGAAAAATACCAATGTGCAAACTTGCTAATGTAAGAATAGAGAGACAAGCATTTTATATGTAAGTTTGAAATAATCATTTTCTTGCATTGTTGTTAATTTTATAGAAAATTATAATTTGTTCATTGATTAAATCAAGTCAAGCTATGAATTTTGTAATCCATAAATCTAAAGCGCATTAAAATAATTTTCAAAAAAGTTGAAATATTTATATTGAAATTTCAGACTTAAGTTTGAACCATCAATTTTTTTTGCACTGGGATCACCGATATCTATGTTTTTAACTGTTCGAAAACTCTCTCTCTCTCTATTAAATTTAATAATTTTTTATTAGGAAGCAGTACAACTTGGAGATAAAACATCAACTGATAGTACCAAAACTGAAGTGATTTCTGAGAAACAAGATATGAAATCTCATACAGATTTCATGGATTATGGAATGGGAATAGCTGGTGCAGGACCTAGAGTGAATTTTCCAAAGTAAGAATAAACATACAGTACTGTACATAAATACATATGAAATTGATCTAATTTATAAGAAAACATTTGTAATTATACCATGCAATTTCTAATTGAACAAATGAGAAGAGCTAATATAAATTTCTTCCTTAAAGTATTCAGTGATAAGTATAAATTTTGCTGAAAAGAACAAATCATACAAGGAACACACCAATAATTGACCATTCCAACTTTATTATACCAGGAAATGCATTTCAGGCCTTCTGCTCCTCGTCAGTTCTTTATTACAGATGTTTGACTATTTCTGACAATTATATTAGTGACCACTGGATGAATCAAATTTGTATTTATAAGTTGATAAATAAAAATTTACATTTACTTTCATTTTTATACTGGTAGGTAACCCCTTTTGTAACCCCCTTTTTTATTATTATTATTATTTTTTATTTAAAAATATTAGATACATAGCAAAACAATTGCCTTAAATACTTGGACTATAAATCCACTAATTTTAATAATTAATACTAAGTAATTTGCTATTAGAGATAGGCATCATCTCTTATCTAAATTAACAATTATAATTTTTAAATAATTTAGAATCATCTGGAAGAAAAAATATAGCAGATTTATAGCTTGAATATATGGCTGTGTGTTTGTTTGTTTGTGTGTGTGTGTGTAGTACGATCCAAAAGTTCGGGGACTTTGTGTAAAATTCCTTACCTTAAAAAGTTTATATTGCTGATGCATAACCACCTTCAAAGTAATCATCTTGGGCAACGATACACTTTTGCCAGCGCTCGTATAACTTCTGGAAGCCATTTTTTTTAAACCTCCTGTAAGGCCTCCTGCAATTCTGCTCTCACCTCATCTAATGACACAAAACGGTGTCCCTGCAAATGCTTTTTTATTGATGGAAACAAATAAAAATCACACGGGGCTAAGTCTGGTGAATAGGCGGGGTGTGGAAGCACATTAATTCACATTAATTTGAGTTTTGGTGAGAAATTGTGTGACCATTTGGGACTGGTGCAGGTGCGATGTCATGCAGAAGGTATCTGTCTTCACTTTGCCAGATCTGTGGCCATTTATGATGAATGGATTCCCTCAAACGATGTAAAATGTCTAGATAATGCTCCTTTGGGAATAAATTCTGAATGAACAATTCCTTGAGAATCAAAAAATACCTCCATCATGACTTTCCCTTTGCTCCGATCTGCCAGAATTTCTTGATTGCAGTAAGGAGGGTGATTTCCATGTTGAAGAAGCACATTTTGATTGGATATCAAATAAATAACACCATATTTCATCACCTGTTATGATGTGATTCAAAAAAGCTGGATCCTTTGTCAATTAAATCACCTGATATTCTCATTTGTTCTTCCTTTTGTTCAGAAGTCAAAAACCAAGAGACAATGTGCTGAGACACTCGGTGAATGTTAAGATCTTCCGTTAAAATACACTGGCAACTACTGTTTGATAAGTGAGTAGCTGCAGTAATTTTTTTCAAGGGTTTGGTGATGATCTTTGTAAACACATTGAGAGATCAACTCAACGTTTTCCTCATTCCACGAAGTTGAAGGTCAGCTGGAGCGTTCATCGTCTGCAGTGGATTCTCTGCCCTCTTTAAAACACCGATGCCATTCGTACACCTTTGATTTCATCATGGTGGAATCACCATACACCTTTCTTAGCAATTTTAAAGTCTCCATAGGTGTTTTACTTAAATGCTGACAAAATTTAATGTTGCAGTGCTGTTCTTGAAACTCCATTTTTATTACATCGCAGAACAAAGGTAACTATCTCCAGAAGAAAACAGCAGCGCTCGCAGTTTAATTATGTGACATGGGCAAAACCAACCTGAACACATAGGGGTGGTTAGAATCCATTTCATACACTGTAACTTCAAATACATGCTTTTATTGTCATAGATTACTGCAGTTCCTGAACTTTTGGATCATACCATGTATATATTAGGCTCTTTGAGTTGTTTAATATATACTTAACAAAAGGTTATTATAAAATATTACTTTTAATTTTATTTATGAGCTTATGAATACAAAGTTCATTCATCCAGTGATTACTAACATAATTTTAAGAAATAGTCAAGCATTTGTAATAAAGGACTGAAGATGGGCAGATGGCCTGAAATGCATCTCCTGGTATAGTAAAGTTGGAATAGTCAGTTGCTGATGTGTTCCTTGTACAATTTGTTCTCTTCAGCAAAATTTATACTTATCACAAAAGGATCTATCAAGAGAATGAGTAGCAATTAAACAACAAAATTGGATTATTTAGTTAATGTAATAATTAATTTTAGTCAAAAATATAGCTATATAATCAAGAATCACTGCCATGATTCCATGTCAAATAAATAAATATGTATGTATGTATGTATATATATACAGGAATCAGAGTTGCCAATTTTCAGGAGTTAATTTCTCCACCCCAAACACCTAAAGTAATTCTGAATATCTTGTTCAAAAGATAATTGTTTTCTTAGGTACTGTGCAAAATTTCAGGTTTTTCTATAAAAGGATTACCAAAATGTAAGCAATTGAAAAGTGCAAAAACTGCCAAAAACAGCTGTATATTCTTTTTCTTCATCTTGCACTGGAGATGCTCCTAGAGGAAAAAATACTGAATCTAGGAAGCTCAAATTTTAAACTTGAGCCTTTCTTGTTATCAGTGAGGTGCTCATGAAGATCTTAGAGCTATTTTACTTTTATCATTTAATTTTATGCTTATTAACACGTTTAACACCATACGACGCGCGCGCCGTCGTAATGGAAATTCCCGTACAGCGCCATACGACCGCCGGTAGACGTAAACAATGTAGTTTTACTCAAGGTTAAATTTCCCTGGCCTCGTACGACGTTTTCTGCATGCTTAGTGCTGGCCTCTCGTGGACATCTATTCAGTTAGCTTTGAACGCCGGCGGCTGTATGGCAAACCGGTTCTAGCTACGACCGCCGGCGCGTCGTGTGGCGTCGTGACGCGGTACAAGGTCGGCGGTCGTAGTTTTTTTTAAAAATAAAACTCTATTTTATATCTGATAGTGGTTTATTTTAATAGTAAATTATTTAAAATATCGAAAATTAGTTTAATTATCCTCTTTTATCGCATATAAAGTAAATAATATTATTAAAAAAAAATTAAAGTATATAAGTGCGTTTTAATATATATTTACAGAAAAAAAACATCATTTACAGTCGAAACAAAGTGTGAAATACTTTAACACACAGATGTAAATACTTTTAAGTAGGGAAGGACGTCTAATTACAGTGGGGTTGTAAAATTTATTGCCTGGGAGAAAGCAGTGTCAGGTTCAAGGTCATACGACTCCCCGGTCTTTGTTTATATATACTTTTCTTATCGTCACTCTCCTGACTGTTGTACATCGACCCTTTTATTTACGTTATATTCAATTATTAGATATCAAATTTTCATTTTTTGGCCCCCCTGACGGAAAGTATCATATTACAACAAGCAGTTAACGTGTTAAGGATAGCTGCATTGAAATAAATGATTTGTATTCAAAATGTTATCCAGAATAACAAACGTTCAAATTTATGCACATTAAAACTTTTCATAACAATTTTACTAAATGGTATATTGAAATGATTTGGTTGAAGTGCTGACTAATTTCTATATCAGTGTTTCTCAACCTCTAACGAATCGTTGCCCCCTTCAATGAAACCGTTCGTAGTATCGCCCCCTTCACTTCAAAATTCCGATGTTGAGGGCCAAGGCTAACGGCAAATTTGTACTGCATTGAATAGACTAGTGACTAGTATAATGTTATTTGTTTAATTATTGTATGATATAACAAATAAAATGTCTAATTATTCTTAATATAATGTTTTACTATATCGGCCAGAAAATTGTTTTTAGCCCCCAAAATATAAATTGTTACTTATCGCCCTCTCAACGTGGAAAAACGCCCACATGGGGTGATATGCCCCATTGAAAAACACTGTTCTATATGATCATTTTAGGTTTTACATGAGGGAGAATGGAGTAAAATTCTTTGGGTTTGGGATTCACAGGTCTGAACATCATCTCACAATTTTTTATATTTTTTTATTTCACAATTTTTTATTGTTTTTTATGCACTAATTATTACAAAAGCACTACTGTAATATAAAATGCTTAACAGTAGGTATTGTTCCTTATTTTGTAAAAAAGTAATGTATTCCATAAAAATAACTCAAAATAAATTATCAAATAATTTATTTACTTGAGGCTCATGTAAATTTTTTCCAAGGTCTGATGATGTCTCTTGATGCCCCTACTTGAAGTAATAACACAGACACTAACCAAAAACTATTGAAATCCAAACAAAAATATCTGAGATGTAAAGAAAAATTGTGTCAAGTAAAAGATTATGACAATTTAGATGATAGTCAATTTTTTTCACTTACGAGATTTTCTTTGGTAAAGATAAGCTTGGCACTTTGAAGTGAAATGTAGAAAACAATAATATAGGAAAAAATTCTTGTGGGTATCATTTAAAGCTCAGTCTATCTTAACCAAAGAAAGTCAAATATTTTTTTTAGAAGTTTGTCATCTAAATTAGTATAATTTTTTACTTGGTGGATTTTGTATTTCATCATATTTGTTTTGAATTTCTTCAGTTAAATAGCAAGTTTATGCATTGGTATTTTATATTAAAAATTGCTAACATTATGACTGTTCTTATGGTTATAAGTATAAGCTATGTTTTCCATTGTAAGCTTTTGTTATAAAATATAAGGTTGTAATGATAGCCAGTTAGATTAGTCATTTGCTTATAATGGAGCCATTAAAATGGTGCAAAAGATTGACATCACTTTTTCAAATTTGGCAAGCAAGAAGCCTTTCAATGACCCATGAATTATAATCTGAAATTAATGTGAGAATCTGCGGTGATGAGTCTATTACTTGATTCACCTTTATGTGAAGTCGGACTCGTGAAGTCCACTCACTTTGTTACTGGATGGCTTTACACGTAGTTACGTAAGATTGGGAAATATTATGTCAACTAAGCATAAAGCTATCCAGGAAAAAATAGACATAAGATTTCCCAATCTTATGTCTATTTTTTCCAGATACCAGTTAAGAAGTAACGTGTCTTAACTTGCAATGATCAATTTCTATTTTTAACAATGCATTAAATGGGAGATGATGTATAATCTTATCGCATAGCGCGCGTAGCGAAGGGGTCGCAGACTCATTGATAGGGTGACTGTCCTTCAAATTACAGTTAAACCAAAGTCAATTTAACAATAACAAAAGTTTAATAAACAAGATAACATAGTGATTAAATACAAAAAGAGAAGAAACTATATTTATGTCGATAACTAACTGATTACGTTGCTAGAGAGACAGAGAGAGAGAGTTTACAATATTGAGTACATAATACCTCTTGTAAACAGTCAGATGTCTTCGGATCCAGTCTGTTTGAACATTGGGACAACGATTGAGGATCTTCCTAGGAGGTTGTTTTCAGAGGAGAGATGGATGAGAACTGGAAGATGGTAGAGTTGATGGACTGAAGCTTGGCCCCCCCCAGAGTTTTGAAAGGAGAGTTTTCCTTGAGCCTGGGATTTCTGTCCTTTTTATCTCCAACTCCCCTCCAATTGGGGGGTAAGTCTTTCCTATGTTATGAGATGTAAAAGCTGCGTCTCACGAGCAGCTATCTCATCAATGGGTGAGATGTACTTGCAGATGTATCATCAGCTGGCAAGATAAGATCTTAATATGGGAAATAGCTAAACTGGACAGAAGTTTTATTTCCTTTTGTATCCATTTCTCATGCATAAAAACAGCTTAATTGTGTTAATTATTAAATAAAATTTAGAGAAAGGCTCTTCTTATGTCTTCAGCTTCTCACATTAATATAAAAAATGTTCCAGAAGTTAAAGCTAATGGTTTGATATAAGACTTCCTGTTTCTTATCATCTCTGCACAGATTTATATACAGAATAATTTTCCATTCTTCCAGATCAAATTTCCAAGATTTATAACATTTCTTATTTGACCATTACAATATATCTCTCAAAAATTTTTTTTGTTTTGTTACTTTTTTGAAGTTATAATCATTGTCTCTCAACAGCCTTGTTTTCAAAATGTAAACAGTCAAATTTTGGTTTTTGAACTTAGTTTGTTCCTAGATGTTATTTGAAAACCAATTTGTTCTAAAACTGAAACAAATTTTCCTGTAAGAAACAATATAAAATGGATTAATCCATTCCTGATTCCCAAAAAAGACCTTTTTTTTTAAAAAGATAAAAAATAAAAAAAAAAGCTTTGTTTTGGGGGTCAGGAATAGATTAATCCATTTTGCTGTATTTGCTGAATTAAAATGACTACAAGTGCAATGTACTATTATATAGCAAAATAATCTGTCACCACCAACAGAAACTGAAACTAACATTTTATCAAGAAGTGTTATAGATACTAGACTCTGACTACTGGGATGAAATATAATCAAGACAGACAAGTACTTTATCCACACTTGCTGAAATGTTATCGATGATTTGTATGGTGACAAAAAGCAATTTCAGCCCCACTAACTTCTGAATTGGTAGTACAGTCATTGATTGGTCAAGCTGTCGACTTTCTTTAACATAAAGGTTTGGGAATTCCAAACTTCTTATGTTAAAGCCCATCTGTGGTCGGCTCTTGCCAAGTAGCTTGTTCGGCAACCAAGTTATCATACAGCAACTGGAGCAAATATGAGTTTGAAATTTTGTTTGCAAACCAAATTGTTCAAAAAGCAATGAGTTTGAAGCCCAAGTTTGGCTTTTATAAGTATTGAGTTTTTGCACAAACACCATCTGTGATGATACACTATTGATAAACTTGTAAGCATAAAGGAAAAATACCAATGTGCAAACTTGCTAATGTAAGAATAGAGAGACAAGCATTTTATATGTAAGTTTGAAATAATCATTTTCTTGCATTGTTGTTAATTTTATAGAAAATTATAATTTGTTCATTGATTAAATCAAGTCAAGCTATGAATTTTGTAATCCATAAATCTAAAGCGCATTAAAATAATTTTCAAAAAAGTTGAAATATTTATATTGAAATTTCAGACTTAAGTTTGAACCATCAATTTTTTTTGCACTGGGATCACCGATATCTATGTTTTTAACTGTTCGAGGACTTGAAAAGATAGGAGAAGATTACAGATTGCCAACGTGTCCCTTTTTTTATAATATATTTCATCCTGTAAGTTTTTTCTTTCTTTTTTTAATGTGTTTATTGTTATCTTATAATGTAATAAGCATTTTATCATAATAAAAAAAAATCTAGCAATGAATTGCATAATTTTCCTGGTGAAAAATATTTGTTTAACCCCTTGAATTTTAATCACCAAGATTTAATAGCATAAATGTTCCTTATAATCAAGTTTCTGTGCCAAATGTTGTTTCTTAATCTTTACTTTATCCTGAGATATTAAACAAAATAGATAGAAACACATGAACACAAATCACACAAATATGGAAATTTTTTTACTGTTTTGGATTCCAGAGGTCAAAATGTGAAAATTTGCAAAAGAAGTGTCGAATTTGACATGATTCAATTACTTTCCCATTTTAACAGATGGGAAAGTATTGATAAAAGCATGGGATAAAAATTATAACTATAAAATACTAAAATAAAATAATTTGATAAATGTTTATTATTTTATTTCAGTTCTAAGAAATCAGTAATCTGATTGTATGTAATACAAGAGTTATTCAAATCTCTGTTGAAGTGCGGTATTCTTATAATATGTTTGCTTGTTATATAAAAATATGAGATATTTATAATTTCAATAAATATTGAGTTTTAATTCATAGTAAAAATCTTTACAAAAAGTTACCCATTTTTTATGTAAGAAAAAGTACTCAATAATCAAACATATCCAAAAAATTGCCTTTCTAAAACAAACAAACAAAAAAATTTTTATTTGAATATTATTGTTGTCTTTCAAACATCTACAATATTTTTAGCCATTTCTAATATTTTATTCATGTCTCCACATTAAAAATCATCATCATGTGATTTTCATACTACTATATTTTGAATAATTAAAATTGACAATTAATTTGTGGAAGTCACATTTCTAATATCCTTTGGAATCCAAAAATCAAGGTTATTTTTATTTCATTTAGTCTTTACACAAGAAATTTAGCGTTTTTAATAAATTTAAAGGCTTAAAACTTAATTATAGAATGGAAAAATTATTAATGATAATTGTAAGTTTTTAATTGTTTATTTGCTAACAATATTATAAAATACACTGCTGGCCATTAAAATTGCAACACCAAGAAGGAAAGCAAATAAAAAAAAGATATTTATTGTACATAAACAGTATGGCATAAAGACAAAATGATTAAATTTGCAAGCAGTTTGGGGGTTTACAGGGGCGCGAAATTAGTAGACACAGTTGCCATCCCCGGCGGCTAAAACAGCCCCTATCTGTTTAAGCATGGAGTTGAACTGGGCTTGGATGACAGAAACAGGCAACTCATTCCATGCTGTTCAAGTCTATGCCATGCTTCATCAACTGTATTAGCAGGAGAGGGGTGGCAGGCCAGTCTCTCAGCAACCCATGACCAGATGTTTTCAATTAGTGAGAGATCTGGATACCATGCAGGCCAGGGCAACAATTGAAAATCCTCTGTATCGAGGAAGGTCAGAACATGATATGCAACATGAGGTCTTGCATTATCTTGTTGCAAGATGGCATTTTGCAGGCCTCGAAGATAGGGCACAACCACTGAATGTAAGATGTCAGAAATGTACTGATCTGAGTTCAAATTACCATCGATCTGAACTAGTGTGTGTCGTGTACCCAATGGCTGCCCATATCATCACACCAGGTGCAGGGCCCCTAAGCCAATATCAAACGCAAGCAGGCGATGAGCAGTCTGCTCAGAGCCTCCAGACACGTATACAGCCATCAGAAGGCTGCAGGCAGAACCAGGACTTATCTGAAAAGACGACATTGTGCCACTCCTGTATCTAGCTTTGTTGTTGGGTGCACCAGAGTTGCCGTCTCTCTCTATGCTGCATTGTCAAGGGAAGCCGAAGTAATGGTTGCTGTGCTGACAGTCTACACTGCTGCAAACATCGTTGCACCGTACAAGCAGATACTAGACATGCTGCAAACAAGCTCATTTCCTGACTGTGTCCGTGATGTGGTTGTACGGTTTTGCACAGCCAACCTCACAATATGTCTGTCCTCTTGGGCATTAGTCATGGGAGGGCGTAGAGATCCTGCATGCTGTTCAGTAAGACCCTCAGCAGCCCGTCGATTCCATATTCGCATGACAGTGGTTGGATTTCGACCAGTGCGAGTGGCAATATCACGGAACGATAATCCACACTCTTGAGAGGCAATGATCCTACCTCTATTGAATTCCAATACTTGCTGGTAAGCATTTCTTCTTCTTATTCGAGGTATAACACGATATTCTGATAAAACCCCAACCTTACAAAGCGATTTCTGAATGAGAAATCCACTGCACAACTTTTCTTTTATGCAGTGCTTCAGATGTTGTTTGTCCCTCCTGCATTGTCTAAATGCACTGAAATACTAATCATTTGCATATCCCAACCTCTTCTTCCTTTTATATGATTTTGACGTTCATACGATCATTCCTTCCTGGTGTTGCAATTTTAATGGTCAGCAGTGTAAGTATTATTGATTTATTTCTTGTTATAATATTATTAACAAATGTTTTTTGTCTCATATATTTTTGTAATTTAATCATAATAAAATGATACTTAAAATTCAAAACGATTATTTTAATAATTGTTGAGAACTTATTTTAACTAGAGTTGTGTTTATTAATAAACACTATTTGATTTTTTTTCATGTATATTCGACAATTTTCCAAAATTCAGTTTGATCCAGTGGTAAGTTTTTTGCTTTCTGATTTAAAAGAATTTTAGTTTACTATTATTTTAATAATTTTCTAAATTATTAAATATATAAACTTTACAGATAAAATTCATTTGTGGGTGTTTTTTCCATAATATAAAATATATCTGCTTTAAGACATCTGTCATTTAATATAAAATTGTACATCAACTGGCTGTTTCTGTTTTTAAATATATAATTATTCTTTTTTTCTATAATATTTTTTTGGATTTTTAACAAACTGCAATTATCTATTTCTACAACATGGCACTTCTACAACATGCTTTTGCTCTAACATGTTTCAAGAATTTCGAAAATTCTCCATACAAAATTTCGCAATTTTTAAATACAAATTCTGTTATTTGATAATTTTTTTTTTCAAGTAAGCATGTTGTCTCACATTTACCCAAAGATTTTAGAATATTGAAATTTTTAATTTGTTTTGTGATTTCCATCTGGTTTACTTTAATGAAAACTAATAGTGCAATTTTTTTTCTTCTTTGTCCTGGCTTTCCTATCAACCAGGTATTGTTGTCGTTGCTTTCAGACTTTAGCCTTTAAGACTGTCACTGTGTTTTGTTTTTATAGATTAATCCTTGTATTTAGTAAAGTTTGTTTACACATCTTTTAGGTAAGTGTAATTAAATTTCTTTTAAATGTACGAAAGTGATCATTTGTAAAAATGACAAATGAAATAAAGAAGTATCTTGGTATTCAAACTAACTCGGAAAATTCACTAGGTTCTCGATTGAACACGCATGACTCACTAGAACAAATTTTCAATTAATAACATATTTTTATTTTGTTATACATAAAACATTTTTAAAAAATGAAGACATTGCTGATATTTCTGATCGAGATCAACAAAAAGCTCAGATGACAATACTTTGCAAAAAGAAAATGCCATTGTTTAACTAAAATTAATATTAACATGTAATATGGTACTTTAATTGTGTTAGTTAGCTAGTTATTGATTAGAAATAAACTATTGATTGCTTTGATAAATATATTTCTCTTACTAACAAAAAAAAAAAATATTATACTTTTGTTAACTTTTGGAACCTAACACCATGTTTTGTATAGCGTGGATTTGCATAACAGGGCACTTTTTCAGAATCTAATTACCATGTTACACAGGGGATACCTGTAGATTAATTAGATTTAATGTAAATTTAAGTAATAAATGAATAAAAATGTAAATAAACAGTGAAAAACATCTGATTTTATAATTTTAATTTTTCAAAAATAAAACAAATTAAAATGATAAAATCAGATGTTTTTCACTGTTTATTTACATTTTTATTCATTTATTACTTAAATTTACATTAAATCTAGAAATTGTAATAAACATTTGAAGATTTACTTAAAGAAGACTTTTCTTATTACATCTCTTCATTTATGTTTTTTTTTTTCTCTCTAATATTATATCTGAAAACCTCAGTTTTAGTTGTTACTGTATTTTTATAGTATATAGCCTATGTGCGTACATGTGTATGTAAGAATACTTAGATTTTCTTTGATTTCATTTATTTTTTAAATTAATTTTAAACTTCAAAGTAAAATAAAATATTAAACCTAATAATTTTTAATCAACCAATATTATGTCTTAACATCAAATTGATGTTAAAATAAAAAGAATGCAATTTTGAGGAACAAGAAATAATTTGAGATACATCAGAGAAATAAATTACTTTAGTTTTGTAATCTTCATATTGCCAGAAACTTAATGTATGGCTTTATTCAACAGTAATGATTGTCTTGTGCAAGAACAATCTTCCTTTTTCCAAAACTGAAAGTTGTTTAATGAATTATTTTAGCTGAATAATCTAAAACTTTTCTGAAGTATATCATTGTCTTACATTTTGGAATGTTTGTTGTCAGAGATCAATGGCATTTTAGAACAATCTCAACTATGAAACTTAAAAACTAATTCTGCAAGCAGCTGAAAACATACAACTATTAGAAAAAATGCATTTTATCTTTAATGTTTTTATCTCAAAAAAGATTTTCAAATATTCTGTTTAATTTTTTGAATGAAAATCAAATCGAGTGCATCAAAATATTATTGAATATTTACTACAATTAAAAATGGTAAAATGTTAATATTATTAATGAACTTATTATGTCAATTGTTCATTTAAACATTGTGCTTCGCTTTCATTATATTTCAGACTATATTTTTAATTTCCAATTTTTATAAAATAAAAATCTGTAATAATCAATTCTGTAACTAAAAAATTAATAGTATTAATGTATTTTAATGTTGTTCAGAGTAAATATAAAGTATGAAATTGTATACTGTAGTTAAAAAATTTAATTAACTAATTAATATTATAAGAATAATTTAATTTTTTCTTTGTATATTTTTAAAATTTTACTTTATTAATTGTATAAATAATGTACAAAATTTAAAGTAGACATAAATTATTTGAGGGTATGTTAATATTCTGAATATTGATTTTATAGGCATATAGAATCGAACCTTTGATTGACCCATCCTTTAATCTGAAGCCTGTATTAGTACCACATCATAAAGGAAGAAAACGAATGCATTTAGGTAAATAATAATAGCTTTTTACCTTAGTATTTTTATTAACACTTCAAGCAGCTCTCATGTGAAATAGGAGAATGACCTTTGACCCCAACTGCACTATACTTGTAAGTTTTCCATAACCTTTGGTTTAAATGTATCTTGTATTTCTTATTGCCATCATCCTTTAGTAAGTAAAATACTCCTGGCTCCATCTGTTAGCAAAATTTTAAGATTAAATTTTTAATTTTTGTTGAATTTTTCTGCAACAAAATGTTTTCCTGCTAATTTTTAAATCAAAGTTTTTAATATTATTATTAATTACATTAATGTGTAGTTCTTTTAATATATAAATAGAAATTCGGAAAGAAGCTAAAACATCACAATTATTGTATATGGACCTATGAGCACCCAGAAGTAGCTAGACAGATTTATGATGATGACTGTATGCATTTCAGATGTATATAACTTTTCTTAAAACAGCTCTTCTTTTGTAACTGTAATTTTGTTCATTACTTTGCATTACGTTCGTTTACCATAATATTTACTTCACAATTAATTTCATTAGCAACAATTGTAATCTCTGGTTGCTATTTGTACAGAAAAATTAATATAACAACTGTGAAAGATACTGAATATGAGGTCATCCACGCATCAGCAACAAAATAGATTACATTTTTATACATACATAAAAAGGAACAATTTTGTAATACAGTAGAGCGTCGTTTATCCAAATCAATTCGGGAATGGGGTTGTTCGGATAACTTCTGGATAACCAATTATGTACAAAAAATATATATTAATTTATCCCGTGTTGAAATTTTTCTCCGTTGCATGTCACTTCGCGTTGAATTTTCATCGATGTTAAGCCTAACGAAGATTATTGTATCGTTAAAAATTATTTTTTTATTTTGTACAAACAAAATAAATATATTGAAAAATATAAAAACAATAAAAAATTATACTTCAGAAGTTAATTTAGTATCAAAAACGTAAAATATTTGAGTAGCCGAAGACATAGCCAAAGATTACAGCGCCACAGCACTGGCGAAAATTTAAATTTGTCGACTGGAATTCCTTCGGATAACCGACGTTTCGGATAACCGACCTTCGGATAAACGACGCTCTACTGTA